ACAATGCTGTTGCGGCACCGAGCTGTGGACATTGGGTGGCTGCGCCAGCGTGGCTCCAGTGGTGGGTGCATTGTTCACCGGAAAGGTGGCGCTGGTCGAGGGCGCCTGTACATTGGACGAGGAGCTCGAGGACGAGGCGGACGAAGATGACGAGCTAGATGACGAGGACGACGAGGAGCTGGAGGGCGAGGCACCCGGATTCACCAGCGGTGGGGAGCTGCTAGATGGTCCTACGAGTATTGCGGCAGCTGCTGCCACGGCGGAAGATGAGCTGGTGGGCCACTGCTCGTGGCTGCTGGAGGAGATCTTTCGGCGCAAGTCGTACGGGCTCTGGTGACTACTTCCGGCAGAAGCGGAGGCTGCAGCTGCTGCGGCGGCGGACGTGCTTGCCGTACTAGATCCGACTGTGGCGCAGGTGGACTTCGATGAGGTGGAGGCTCCTAATGCCGGCGGCGTTGACTGGCTGGTACCGGCGCCCGAGCTCTCAGTGGTGTCCATCATTTGCAGGGCATTATAAAAGCTGCCAGAGAAGCCCGATGAAGCCGCTCCGCTGGATCCACTAGCTCCTTGGCCGCTGTCTAAGTACTCCGCAGAACTGGATGCTCCTGCTGCAGTAGCTCCGGCAGCTGCTGCTGCAGATCCGGAGGTGGATGTGACGCCACTGCTCCCGCTACTGCTGGCGTTGTTGTTGCCAACACTACCAGCACCGGAACTGCCAGCGGCACTACTGTTGGCACCGGATGCACTGGCTCCCGCACCGGCGGCGGCCACGTTCTGCTGGAGCATGGGATCCATTATGTTGCCCGTCGGCCGGTTGGGCATCGCTATCCGGTTGGCTCCTTTCCGGCGGGAGCGGCGCACGTAGGTGCGCGACGAGGTGAACGAGGCGCTCGGCATCTTCGCTTCACCTGCCCAGCGATGATGAGTTCTTCCGCGAGTTAATCAGAGCCAAAGACTTTTGCGCTTGAGTTTTCACAGTTTTCCAACCCCATATGCACACGCACTCACACTGGCATACACACACTGGCACATGCACATGCACAATTTGGCGACGACTTTTCGCTCTGTCTCTCGTTCCCTTCACTTCGCTTTCGATGTGGAGTGCCACCGATCGGTTGGGATTGGTTGACTATATCCTTGGACCCTTCGATTGTTAGTTAATTTAGCGACATTTGCTTTAGTTTATCCGTCTGCTAACTGCTCTTCTTATTGCTGGTGAGTGCATGTGTATGTGTGTGTGAGTGTGCCTTTTTCGGGGTTTCTATCCTTTGTCTCTCCTTTGTTTTGTTTTATTTGGTTAGAAGAGCACAGCTAGCGTACACACTGGTCTGCTCTCTCCCGCTCACTCATTGTTACTCCGTCTCCCCTTTAATTCGTCTTCGCAGCAGACACTCTGATTTCAATTCGCTTATTTCGCTGCCAAAAAAACACTTTTCGCAATGCACATACGCAAGTTCTACCCAATAGCTATTGCACTTGACACAATTGAACACTATTTTTTCGAAATTTCAGTAGCGAAACCACACATACTCGGATTTTTAATTTTAGCGTCCAGTGTGACCGCGTCTCGACTGATTGAAAATATCAGCTGGCAAGGCAAAAAAACCGAAATCGCTTGGTATAAACGTTTGGTATTTTTTGCACAGTATCAGGGAAATCGATTTTGACAACGGTGATATCGATATCTTTTGGGCGCAAATCTGTAAAAGTAAAATTCTAGTGTTTTTTTTTTTCAAAATTGTAATCCACCTTTTAATGTATGCTTACACAACATTCCTCCGTAAAGATCATAAAAACAAAAAAACAAATGTTTACTGAAGTGTTTATTGTTTATTGAAAATATTATCATGTAACTGAACTGATTTGAGAGCCCGTGATAAGCAGCTAACATGCAAACTAGAACTTTAGCAGCTGCAAATCGACAATTAAGGTCGTGCCACGCCCCCTTTGGATATAGGTTTCATTGTTCACCTGCTTGTCATGGCCATGTGCGCCATGTTTTGACTGCTTCATTGAACGAATGCCCAACATTGAACTTCGCACACGCGATTGCAGCGACTATGGAAAATTGAACTTCAATGTTTCTGTAACTGAACTTGTGACCCAAATGCCAAAGGCACGTGTCAAATGTGAAGCATATTTTCTATAAATAGCACTTTTTGGCACTCCAAAAGTTACGAAAATCAGATGAGGTTTTGAAATCAATTAGCAAGTTTCGCAATTAGCAAGGTCAGAAATATACAAGAACATTACTTTTTTATTTTTTTTGTTTCAATCAAGAAAAAACGTTTATGGCATTGTCTTAGCACTCTCAAAAAAAAAAAAAAAAAAAAACATAAAAAGGAGTGTATCTTACATTTCATTTTATTAAATAGTTAAAACGTGTCCCATCAAAATGTCCCAAATGATTTTTTTACCATTTGTGAATAGTTTCTCCCAAACTATTTGACCTCTTATGGTTTTCCCTAATTTTTTCCGGTTTTCGCCACTTTAACTACCATGTAGCTCTGAGTGTTGTTTTGGTCTGCGCTTTGTGGTGCCCATTTAGAGGTCCTACTTCCTTTCCATTCCTTCACTTGGCGTGAATGATAATGGCATAGGCATTCCCCCCAAAAAGGGGAGAATGGGGGTGGTTAGCTTGGGTGGACTGACTATGGCCATATGTTCTTGTGGGTGTCCTGGTGTCCTGTACTCCCCGACATCCCCTCGCCGCTGACCTCAATAATAATTTCGTCTAATTGCTTCGTAATTATGCCGCGCACATGCTTTTCTTGATTCGCCCGTTGTTGGTAATTCACTTGGCCCCCACGGTCACCTTTCTATCTTCGCTGGTGCGTGCTCTCCTCGCTTTGAGCTCTCCAGGATGTGGACGTGGATGTGGATGTGGTGGCCTCAAGTGGGCGGTGGTCGGTGTTTGGTGGCCCTAGTGGGTGGAATCGTCCGAGTCGGCCGTTTTCGCATATTATTATTTGTCTCTTTTGTTTTGCGCAATTTTTCGTCATTTGCTTCATTTTCTGTCATTAGAGGCATTTAACTTTTTGCTGTTTTGCCTCTTTCCGATTTGCTTTCATTATTCAGGCGGCCGCGAGTTTTCGCATTTCGCATTCAGGACGACGGAAAAACTGGGCAAATGGATTTTCCTGTGGTCAGGTTAAGGCACGGCAAAAGTGGGCAATTAAATTATTATTGCAGCGATAATAACATATATTATTATTATACAATATGATATGTGGAAATTGGAACATACTTTTCATTTTCACAAAGAAATATTAAAGCAAGGACGAAATAAATTCAGTATTCAATTCCCCTGAATACTGATGAATTACTTTCTTGTAGCATGAGAAATTCTCTATACTTGCTCTAAGTGCAACCCTTTAGAACTTCCCCTTACCATTCCAATTTCTTGCGAACTTGCAACCAAGGAGCGTATCAATGTGTGTCAATGGGCTGTTGCCTCCAATTGAAACCACCTGTCCGCTGGCGGTGTGCAGAGCTGCAGTCGAGCTCCATTTGCCCCTTGACATGCAGGATATGCGAAGTCATTTAGATGGAATCGCTCACATTTTTAATGACAACTAATGCGAGTGCCCTTCACCGCCCTTCAGCAACCTAGTTTTTTTCGGGCCCGGCTTAATCACATTTGCAGGAGCTCTTTCGGGCACAAGTGTGTGTGTCTAATGCGCAAAACTTTTAATTGAGTTTAAAATTGCATGAAGATGGGACGAACCGAAGGTCCTGTGCCAATGGAAATCGGCAACCGTAATTAAACGCGAGTGCGTATGCCATGTATGCGCGCTGTTTTTTGAAGTGTGTCGGCTTCAATCTCGGTAAATTGCCCATGAAATATTAACTCAACCATAATGATACGCAATTTGTGTGTTTCTCGCAGTTTGGCCAACGAAATGTGGCAGGCGTGTAAAATACCACACACTTGAAAAGACAAAGGTTGAACCATTTCAATTATAAATGATGTGGCTTTATGTCTTCGGCCTTTCTGCCGCACCATGTTTATGCACCTGTCCGCGCAAAACACTATGAAGAAAAAAGAAGCGCCATAATCGGCCTTATTCAGCGGTCAAAGGACACTTTCTGCGACCCAATTATGGCCATGAAATTGTGACACATTGAGGCCTCGCTGCACTCGCCCACGCCTTACATTCGCTGTAATCCAGTGCGGAATGAAAAATGACTCAATTTGCAATAGCAGCACAATAGCACCACCCCCAATCCCCCAATCCCCCAATCCCCCAATCGCCACATATTGTGGCCCATTCCATACTGACACTTGCATAAGCGGCAGCACAGTCATTACTTTCATTTGCACCGTAGCCACAGCTCCTTAATATGAAGTAATTCTACTTGGCGCACGGATAGTTAGTGCAAAATGACTTGGCTTATGGGTGAAAATTCTCCTGTTTCTTGCAACTTCGCGTCGACAAATGGCTTTTCCCCTGCATGGCACGTGCAAAACAAAGGCAGCCAAAAAATACAACAGTGGAAAGGAAAACAAGCGAGAATGTACGAGTACGGATCGAATTTTCCGACTGCCAGATATCCGGTATATGGCTATAGAGATTTACACCATGGTGCACCATGCACCATGTCAAAAGTTGTTTAATTGGAATTCTCACAGGCGCGAACAAAGTGCATATACTCGTAGAATGCGTTTAAAACAATTACAAGCGGGAGAATCAATGTTGCATTTGCATGCTTGAAGTTTTGTCATAAAAGTTGAACTTTTTTGCATCTGGGCTAATGTTCAGGCCTAAAAAGTGTTAGCAATAGTATGCAACACAAGTGAACGTTTATATGCCGATTACCGTATGCACGTGTAGCTAAATATATTGTCGCAGAATTAGAATTTATGTAAATGCCGCTCTGCGTGCGCTGCCCGAATTTCCAATTCAATCGCAACGCACTTGGCTACGCATAAAAGACTGAACCACGTTTAGTTGCCCATGAAGCATTCCCTTGAGTGGAAGGGGATTTACACCAGATTTTTCTTCAACTCCAAAATGGCTGATTTTCTCAATCGAACCCTGATCATTTCGGATGATCCTGTCCGCCTGCCACTCATCGGAAGTCCATGGCCCGCGCTCACCATCATTTCGATCTATTTGCTGTTCGTCTTGAAGGTGGGCAGGAAGTTTATGGAGAAAAGAAAGCCCTACGATCTCCGTGGAGTCATTAAGGCATACAACATCTTGCAGATCGTCTACAACACCGTTCTCATGTCAGGGGTAAGTAAATAGAGTCCAGACGAGCATAGTTAAGTACAGAAGGTACTCCTTCCAAATACCTAACTCATAGTTCCTAACTCATCATATATATATGTCATAGATAGATATAACCACACCCCTTGTTTGCAGGGTATTTACTTCTTGCTCGTGCTGAAGCCGTACGACATGCGCTGCGTACTCACTCTGCCGCTGGACCACGAGTACAAAAACTGGGAAAGATTGCTCACCTACGCGTACTTCGTCAACAAGTTCATGGACCTAATGGAGACGGTGTTCTTTGTGCTGCGAAAGAAGGACCGCCAGATATCCGTCCTGCACGTCTTTCACCACCTGGCGATGTCCTTTGGCGGCTACGTGAACATCACCTTCAACGGCTATGGAGGCGTTTTCTTCCCATCCTGCCTGCTCAACGTGGCGGTCCATGTGATCATGTACACCTACTACTACCTGTCCTCCGTCAGCAAGGATGTGCAGTCGAGCACGTGGAAAAAGTACATCACCATTGTCCAGCTGGTGCAGTTCCTCCTGAGCCTGGTGAACTTCAGCATCACCCTGATGCAGCCTGACTGCAAGGCCTCGCGAAATACGATATATGTTGGCATTTTAATGTCCTCGACTTTCCTCCTGATGTTTAGCAACTTCTACGTTAGGAACTACATATTGAAACAAGGCAAACAGAAGCCCGAGCTGAAATCCGAATGAGGCCGTAAATCCTTCGAATATGCGTGAATTTTGTGATAGCGAGAAACAAATAAATTTGCATTGCCACCAACACTTCACTAACCTACGCATCCACAGCGATATTACTACTAGCCCTGGGCAAGTTACTCGCCAGTCTTTTAATATCTTGGAGTCACTTAGCATATCCACCAAGTCCACTACTTAAAAATCAACGTGTGGATACTATACTCCATGAATTCTCATTTAAAATTCACAATACGGCATGCGAATGTAAATACAGAACCATTCACTATAACATTTGATTTTGCTAATCACTAAGCTTTTTATCCGTACAAATCGGGCTTGTATTACTGATTTCATACAATGTAAGTTTTACTAGAAAGAAGTCAGTTCATTCTGCACTATATATGGTCTAGATCCGCATTTCGAACTCAAGTCTCTGTAGACCGCACAACTCGAGTAGATTCGCCATGTTCTGTCAGATAGATCCTGTAAAGGTGCCAGTTTTCGGCGATCCATGGGTCACCATGGCCATATTGAGCAGCTATCTGCTGTTGGTGCTCAAGGTGGTGATCCAAAATTGTGGAGTAGCGAGAGCCCTTGCTTTTGAGAGGTGTTACCGATCCTGTACACTGGAGTCCTACTCGATTTAGTAAGTATTTGAACTGGGGCTGACTTATGCAGGACATGATGGAACTGCCAGTTTTTAGGGACTCTACTTCCTGTTTGTCCTGAAAGCCTGCAACATCACTTGCATTCTCAATCTGCCGATGGATCACAAATACAAGGAGAGGGTGCGTGTGATTAGATTAAACAACGATAGCAACTGCTTTGCTTAAATAAATTTAAAAGGCAAACTATTTTTACGGCAGTCTCAGCACTGCAAAGGGTAAATATAAAAATAGCTAAAAATCGAATGCAGAACAAACAAGTATGTAGGCATGCGACTGCCGAGGGAACTACACAATGCACGTTTAATGTCATTTAAAACGGCAATTACTCAGCACGCTCGGTGGCTCGACCAGTTGGATACCCCATTCCGAAGCCACGCCAAGGACGAAGGACAAAGGACAAAGGACGAAGGAGCCGAAAAGCCAGGAACCACTGCACTTTAATGTTGCTGCATGGCCGCAATTATTCAGCTGGCACTTTGACTCTGATTCGCCGCATGCGATTCCTATGCAAATTCGCTCGGACGGCTATGGGTGACCCTTCCGGTGCCATAAATCGCCGGTGCTGGCCGGGCTAGTGCCTAATATTCTAATTAAAAGCAGCATGGAATGTCCAGAGACGTGCTCCACCAAGTCCTGCGGAGCATGCAGATCACGTGCAAGGAGAATACCCCACGAGTACTGGAGATGTGGCCAATGGAATTTATTCCGGAAGCAGTCAACTCCTTGACCTTCTCGACGGCATTTGAATTAACTGTCGATACATTTGAAGTCATCTATTATTCAAACGGCGCATATGCAAATCGTCGACCACACTCAGAAAAAACCCATTACGATTTGAAGTCACTTTATATTATAATTAATGAAAAAAAAGAAACCAATGCAAGTAGTATTATACAATACAAATATTTGTTGATTACAAATCAATTCTTATTGAATAATAAAACAGGGCCAATGTTGCCAATTTTATGAACCTTATTTATGAAAGTTGAAAAAAAAAACACTCTTCACTCTTATGCCTAGACATAGTTATGTACATTCGGATTACTAGCTTTTAATCACAGTGTAGCAGGTGCAATCAGTTGACCTTGGCCTTGACCTCCTTCGGTCGAATGTAGGTCTTTATGTAGAACTTGGAGAACATCAAAAACATGAAGGCACTGGCCCCACTTATGACGTAGATGACACCCCGCGACGCCGAGCAGTTGGGCTGGAAATAGGTGTACATGCAGTGCAGGAACATCATGAGGAACTGCACCAGCTGGCCAACGGTGAGGTACTTCTTCCACCACAGGCTCTCCTGGACATTCTGGCTCTGCGACGAGGCGTAGTAGTAGCCGTACATCACCATGTGCACCAGGACATTGAACATGCAGATCAGGAAGACATGGCCACCGAAACCATAGAATCGGATCAGCAAGTGCGACGTGAAGACCATGAAAACGTGATGGAACACATGTAGGAACGTGATCTGGCGCTGCTTCTTGCGCAGCACAAAGAAGATGGTGTCCATCAGGTCGAGCACCTTGTTCAGATGGTACAAGTACGACAGTGTCCTTTCCGTGGACTTGAGCTCATGATCCTGCGGCAGGACCTGCATGCAACTCAGGTTGTACGGCTTCAAGACGAATAACAGATGATAGCCCTGGATAGTTCGGAAAAGTCCATGGTTAAATGGTTAAAAATATGGGTATAACGATATCCTACGACCTACGTACCCACACAAAAATCAGCGAATTGAACAGGACTTGTCCGATGTTGTAGAACTTGAGGACACCGCGCAGCTGGAGGGCCTCATGCTTGTCCATCAGCTTCCTGCCCAGCTTCAGCACAAACAGTAGATACACGGTGATGATGACCACCGAGGACCACATATTGCCCACCAGCGGCAGCTGGACAGGATCGGCAAAGGGCTTATCGAACACCTCCAACATTTTCGCGCACAACTTATCGGGTGACTTGACTTTTACCTTCTGTTCTATCAAACTTTCCCGATAGCCACTATTAACTATTTGCTAATTACATTAGTGCAAATGTGCGGTATGTTTAACCCACTATCAACCTTCCAACTTGAATACTAAAGGTTTTGTAAATTGAACTAAACTTAGGTAACAGTTCAACTATGTTTTGATTTTCAAAAATTTGTTTAATAGGCATAATTATTCAGAAAATGACTCCTTTTGACATTATTGTCAATTCAAAAGGGCGGTGTTTCACATTTATAGAATATTGGCGAGACCCAATAGAAGGGTATTATGTTTATTCAATAGCTTCCAGCAGTCGAGTGAGTGCATAGAAAGTTCTAGAGCCCAAAAAACCTCCCATTGGTCTATGAATAGCTATATAGTATAAGAAGCTTATGTGTAAGTGATATAAAAGCCTCAAAAGGTTACATTAATTCATGTAAGAAACTTTGATATAATGTATAGCTACTTGTACAGCTATATACTATAAGAAGCTTATGTCTGAATGATAGAAAACAAACTTATTTGTTACAAGAGGCCCTAAAAAAGGTTACATTTATTCATAAAAGAAGCTTTGATATAATGCAGAACTTAGTTAGGTCATCGCGCCACCGACTTCGTCTTCTTGGACAGAATGTAGGTGCGAACGTAGAAGTTGCTGAAAAGAATTATAAATACTACAGAGATGATGGAGCCCCAAGTTGCCGACAATTGGGATGTTCGGCAGTCCTCTTGGCGGATGATATAGATGCAGTGTGCGAATATGATAACGAACTGGACGAGCTGGACGACTGTGATGTACTTCTTCCACCAGAGATCACCTCCCGAGTTCCGATTGAGGGATGACTGATAGTAGTAGGTGTACATCATGGTGTGCACAACCACGTTGAAAGTGACCAAGAAGAACCCATGGCCGCCGTATCCATAATAATACATGTACAAAAAGCCCACGTACACCATGTATACGTGGTGGAAAACGTGCAGAAAGGATATCTGTCGATACTTCTTTCTCAGTATAAAGAATACAGTCTCCAGCAGGTCCATTAACTTGTTGAAGAAGTAGGAGTAGCTGAGCCATCGCTCCCAGTTCTTGTACTCATGATCCAGCGGCAGATTGGACATGCAGCTGAAGTTATAGTTTCCAGGGCCAAGCATGAAGTGCACGGCCTACTAGTTGCGGAATAATTATAATAACTATATATGCAGTTTCCAAATAGAAGCATTACGTACACATATCAGCAAAATAGCATTGTACGCTATTTGCACGATGTTGTAGATCTTGATGGCTCTATCCAGGTTGTATGGCTTTCGGCGCTGCATAAACAATGGACCCACTATTTTTATGAGGACTAGGTAGACACCAAGTATGGTCAGCACGGGCCAGTGGCTGCTGGTCAGCGGAAGACGCACAGGATCCGGCGGAGATCGGTTCAGGAAGTCCACTATATGGGCAAACATGTCGGCTATCTAAGTGTTATCGGCGTCGGTGGAACAGCGACTGATATATCAAACATCATTTAAATGGACTGCGGCCGAGGACTGAAATGGTAATCTACTAGTTGATTTAAGTGTGTGTTTCTATTATACAAATACGTACGTAAGCCAACCCTATTACGGCGACCAAATACGAGGGTATCGCGGTCACCGGAAGGGAAAATAGATATAAAATAGACGGTCTCCCGGTTACGAAAGTTAAAATAATGCATTCGGAGTCCAGTTTCTAATGTAGTCCACTTATCAACGGCTGTTGACGCAATAGCTTTTACGTTTTATTTAACCAAAAAAAAAAACATGTTCTAATTCTACACAAGTCCGTAGTTGTAATGCGATGGTTATCAGTATTTTAGTAGACATATCCACGCATCGCATCCGAATATCAGTGAAACCAGCGAATACCAGTAATCAGGTACAAAGTTCATATATATTCCTATGTTTTTTATTAAGCTCTTAAATAATAATAGGTATCTCCAAAGAGGTCTAAATGCTTCACAGAACACATTTGATGACTGGCTCCAGCTTAGATGGCCTTTTTTTTGCATTTCGTGGGTAGGATATAGGCGTGAAAATAGAAGTTGCTAAATAAGATGATGAACACAACGGAGATGCCGCCGGCACAGGTCGCCGAGAACCGGGCAGATGGACAGTCCGGCTGCATCAGGGTGTAGATACTGTGCCCCGAAATGATTCCGAACTGGATGAGCTGGACGATGGTGATGTACTTCTTCCACCACAGGTCGCCCTTCGAGTCCCGGTCGAGTGACGAGTGATAGTAGTAGGCGTACATCATGATGTGCACGATGACGTTGAAGAAGCACATGAAGAAGCCATGGCCGCCGTATCCGTAGTAGTACAGATACAGGAAGCTGAAGTACAACATGAACATGTGATGAAAGACGTGCAGGAAGGATATCTGGCGATCCTTCTTTCGCAGCACAAAGAAGACCGTTTCCAGCAGATCGATGAGCTTGTTGAAGAAGTACGAGTACGTGAGCCAGCGCTCCCAGGTCTTGTAATCATGATCCGGCGGCAGGTTCTGGATGCACCTGAAGCTGAAATCCCCGGGTCCGAGCATAAAGTGGACAGCCTGTAAGGTGGGGAGATCCATATTCGATCCAATTCGGGATAGTTGATATTTCAGAGAACACTCACGAAAAAGCACATGATGACATTGTACACGATCTGCGTGACGTTGTAGACCTTTATCAGGCCCCGCAGGTCAAAGGGCTTTCGATTCTGCATGACCTTGGGACCCACTATCTTAACGAAGACCAGGTAGGTGGCCAGAATCATCAGGATGGGCCTGTGGCTGGCCAGGAGCGGCAGGCGCACCGGATCGGGTGGGGACTTGCCAAAAAAATCCACTAAATCGCCCAACATTGCGATTGTGTGTGCGTTCTGTGGGTCGGTGGAAACGCGACTAATGTCGTGGTTGTTTGGTGGTTTATAAGCTTCGATTAGCATGCTTAATTTATAGACGTGAGTACAAGTAGTAGGGTTTTGCAATGCTCGAAGCACGCGACAGATGCATGATATTGAATTTTTTACTTTGTAGCGATAGATATTTCTCTGTAAATTCGAAGAGCCTGCCAACGAGCAAATGAAAATAGCCATGAAAACTGATGCCCCTTGGCCTTAAATCAATACCCATAGTGCAGAAACTTTCCGGAAAACCTTCGCAACTTTAAACATGATTATGGAAATTCCATTAAAAGTTTAATGCGCTCTGGGAAATGTTCGAAAATCACGCACATGCGAAACGCAGGCGGTACAAATAGATGGGCGGTGGTTTTTATATCGCATCAGGTTACGCAGTGGGCGTGGCCAACGTGCAAGTGCAGCAACTTCCATTGCAAGCGGATGCGGAAATGGGACGTAAACAAATACCGCCACATCACGCACATCCGTTGCAACAAAAGTGGCAACAGCCAAAACAAATTTAGAAGTAAATACGCTCGTGCACCCCGCAAAAGTTAGAATCCAGTGCACTTATGTAAGGGCAAGAGTGTATTTAACAATAAGCTTATATAAACCCCTTTTAAAGAGTGTACCAAATTCGTTGGGTTTTTTATTGGCGGCTTGGTTTATGGAAATGAGCTGACGGCGAAACTAGTTCAATTAGAATCTAGTCGCTCCATCACAAAAAAAAAATGAAATATCAGGCCAAGTATAAATCACTCGTCGTCGGCCGTTTCACTGATGGCCACATACTTTCGGTTCTTAATTATCACAGTTTGCATGAGTGGAGGTGTGACTTTTGGAATCCTTTGCACTGCCAAATTGCAGCTTTTCTTTTCCTTCCTCTCAGTTCCCAAACATACATCAACTGGTTTCTTGGCCATCTTTTCGTTTTTTTCCTGATAGGTTCCCCTTTTCATTGGCGGGAGTTGAGATTGTCCTTCCTTTTTTAAATTCCCAGCTTCAATTAGCTGCTTTTTGCTCTGAAACTTGCTCTTAAAGCATTTCTGCAAGATTAGGTATGAGTTTAAGTTTCCCCTTTTAACTAGTCGGTTGTTTTCATACTGGACACACGTAGATTAGCTTTAAGGTCACAGGATCCTTTACCACCTTCCTGGTTCTCACGTTGCACATAGAACAGGCGGAAAAGGGCGGCATTTTCAAGGTGGTTTGCTTAAATAATCAAGCAAATTGCTCCAAATGACGAATGACAAAATATTGTGATGAAAATGTTTGTTGACAGTGACAGTTCACTGCTTCAAATGCTTGCTCTTTCTTGTAGTATTATTCATGAATATGCTAGGGCTGTGGAATTAAAGCCTAAATGAAGCAAATCCGAAATGCATCCCCCGAATGTTCTCGACATTCATTAGCATTTGTTGCCAAATTGCTGAACTTTTTAAGTGCTTTGATTTGCATTGCATTGTGAGTGGAATGTGGACGTGGGTGTGGGTGTGGGTGTGGGTAAATAAAGCTCTGGCTTGGCAACTGCACCCACTTTTCAAGTGCATCTGCATCCGAAGCTGAAAGCTGAAACCGAATCCTGTAGCTGTGTAAACGACCTTTGATGTGGGCCTGGTTGGTTGGTTGGCTGGTTGGTTGGTTGGCTGGCTGGTCGGTTGGTAGTTGGTTCAGTCTCGACTCGTATTCGCATTAACGCCATTAGGCCAATTTGGCACTGTGCCCTGGCCCCGAAAAGGCGCACGGAGAACTTTCACAAACAAAGGTAACAAACGGCGGCGGGATGTTGCACTAGCTCTTCTTCTGGGCCCCCTAGAACACCCAACCGAATACGCCCGAAAAGCAGCCAAGAGTCACCCAACTACCCCTGGCCGTTCCACTCCATGCCACTCACATGCCAATGCCCGTGTAAATAAAAGTCAAGTGAGGAAAACAAATAAATTAGAAGCGCATCCTCTGCTCGTTGGCAACGGGCATTTCTCTTCGTTATTGCGCGACTGCCTTTAATTACGACACCAGGCGGCTGAAAGGAGCTCCCAGTTACAAAGTCCTGCCCCGGGGATTCCCCCACTTTCCCTTGCCCCTTTTCGCCATTTCGTGCTCCGTGCTCCGTGCTTCGCGTTCCGCCACAGCGCAGCATCCTCAATTTATGTTTATTTGAAAGCTGTTGCACTTGACTAATGTCCTCCGACTGGCCTCTCATCCTGCCACTTAGCAGGATGCGGCGACATTCTCAGGATCTTGGACTTCGGCCATCTGGTATTTAAGCCATCAAATCCACATAATTTCGGGCAGGAGGCAGTTCAGGATGAGCAAGTGGCACCTAGATGGTGATCTAGATACCCGCATGCAATAAACTAGGTAAATGCCCATTGCGTTTTACTATATTAAAACAATGTAGAATGCTATAGTCGAGTTCCCCGACGATAAATTCAACATTTATTTCAACATTTCAACATTTTCTGGAATAGAATAATAAATAGATTTGAATGCAGATTTTTAGAGAATTTCCACTTCAAAGTCCGACTAAGATAAGTTGAGTTATGGAGTTTAGAACTTCAGCCCTAGGACTTTTTTTTAAATTTCTACATCAGAAAATACATCAGAAAATTTATAAAAAAATTAAAAAAAAAAAAAAAGATTTCTAAATTTAAATGCAGACTTTTAGAGAAATTCGCCAGAAACATTTAGAGGTATACCACTTTAAAATCCGATTAAGATCGACTTGGATATTGATCCTGATCAAGAATATATTTACCTTATATGTTCGGAAGCGTTTCCTTCTGCCTGTTACATACTTTTCAACGAATCTAGTATACCCTTTTACTCTACGAGTAACGGGTATAAAAATACTGTGTGTAATAAAGCATTTTTACATAGGATTAATACAATTTATTTGAGGCTGTAGCAGGAAAAGGAAGTAGTTTATTTTATGGATTATTATTAATGATTCTATACGAAAGTTAAGTATCTGATGTGTGCCTGTTTCCTAAAAAACACCACCAATAAAGAAATCGATCTATTGATCCATGAGCCATGTGGGTTCCTTGTCCTGGGCTTCCCAGAATAAATGCGATTGTAATTGACGGCGCATTTGATTTATTAGTTTTCTCATTAAACAAATTGTTGAACAATGCCGGGCAATGAACAATACACTGTGCGACATTTCCATGGCACACGAACACATGTACTTTCGCCCAGCACTTGCGTTTATTTATGTAGATTGATGGTCATTCGTGTAAACACATCCATTGACGTAAATTTGAATAAACATTTTCATTAGCAAAATGTCCATGAGCCCCCGGAGACAGTCGGAGCTTGATATCTGATGGGCGTTGGACGATGGTAATGATGACCTGGCAATCACATTTGCTCAATTGGATTCGACTTGCTCGCTGCCCGGATTCTGGGTAATTTATTACGCCGGCTAAAACAAGGCATGCCAATTACAAGGCATCCGATTCAATCCTTTCCACGATTCCCTGGCCAGCAATTGACCTTTGGTCAAATTGGCAATGGCCCGTTGTCACCAGCTAATAAAACGTTTCTAAAAAAACACATTTTAAATTGCCAAAACATAAAGAGTTATTCTGCAAAAAAACATATTTTACTATATCACATATTATACAAAATGTTTTACCTCATTTTATAAATGCATATTTCCCAGAAATATTTGTACTCTCATTTATATTACAAGTAGATATTAACTCCAATTTTCCTTTGTATTCTCGCGCATTTTATTGTTCTTTGGGCCAAGAACCTCGGAAGGCGTGCGGGGTATATCTCCAAGCAGATCGATTTCATGCTGAAACATCAGCATGTCCTGATCCACGATATCCGGCACGTTCCAGTAGTCCTCCTTGACCTCGTATTTGGGATTTGTGTCATGGAAGGGAGCGGTGAGTACCGAGTACTGAAACTGGAGGCGTATCTTCTGGAACAGCTTCAATTTCTGCTGGCGCTGCATCCGCATCTCCGCAATCACACGCTGGAACACGGGATCCATTTGGCCCTGATCCTGCGCATCCGAACTGCGGGCCATGCTGACAGCGATGGCCCTCGTTTGGTCAACGGTAGGACGCACTGCGTCCAGTTGTTTCTTTCCGGCCCAAAGGGTGAAGCAGCGGACACATAATCCGGTCGGAAAGTGGTACACCAAATTGGGGCACATCTCGCACTTGGTTACTTCCAGGAGGGGATTGCGCCGGAATGGGTCCATCGTGTAAGTCACTGGCAGGGTTTTAGCAAATAAAACTCCCTTTGAAATGTGCATCGTCACTTGATAGTATTGGAAACTACTTCTTTGCTGCCTAACCTCAAAAAAGTTTGATAGATGGAAACCCTGGATTAGGGCTTACACCCTTACAAAGACTTCTTATTGCAGAATTAGTGTCAATTGTTTATGAATTTAAATCAAAAACTTTCTCGACCATTACAAAACATTTTGGCAAGCTATTAGTGTTCACAGTGATCTTAGTGATATATACCATATGATAACCATTCTGTAAAAGCCCCATTGAGTAATAGAAAGAGAAAAGTCCCCCCCCACAAGGAAGTAGTTTTCCACCCACTTTGTCAGGTAGATTTATCCACATATACTTGTATCAGCTACACAAATCTGCAAGGACTCCTTAAACCTTAACTCTTTTGGCGGTCGGCGCTGCTCTCTTTTCTGCAGCTCAGAACGGAATTCGTTTAATTTCTTAAATTGAAATTATGGTAATTTCCTGCAGTCATGCGAACCTTTTCATACCCGTTCGTGTCTGGCCGGAACCAATGACGAGCGGACTGGGCCGGAAGAAGGGGGCTCCTGATGGCTGATGGTTGATGGCTGTTAGCTAACCGAAAGTCAAGTTCATAAGTGTAAGGCCCAGGGTGCGAGGAGAGCTACCTGTCCAGGTATTTGGTGGTCGCACTCACCGCTGCAGCAGCACGCTTCATGGCTCAATCCGCCTGCCCCAATCCTCGTGCCCCACCAGCTCCACCAGCCCCATGCCATTTGCTTGACGCCTCCAATTCGAAGGTTGGAGCCCGGCTAATCGATAGCTCTCCATGGCGATGGCCGGGGTGTTGATTTATGGCATTGCCGACGCACCGAAACTCGCTCCGGGATCCGACGAAAGTGACACATTAATGTGTTCAATTGAAGTGCCAACTACCTGCCGCTTTGCTCCTCCTTCACATCGCAGGAGGAGGAGGATGGGGAGGATGAGTTGGAGCAGCCAGGACAGACGGAAACAAAAAGCGCCCCCGGAGCTCTGGCAGCTTGTTAAGCTCGTTGTTCTCTCAATTGCTCCGCCAAGTGGAGCCCTTCCATCGCCCCCCATTTTGCGCATTTTCGAGCCATCAATCGCTGGGATGTTTGCATTTGTGGTAGGGGTACAATGTCTTCATATAAGCCGATGAAAATGTAAATAACTGAGATCTGTTTTTAATATTCCGAAATGATACTGACTTTCGAACAAAATTTAAGTACTTAAAAAACTTAAATTTTGGGAAATCGTTTCTATATTTATCTATACAATAAATATAACTATTTTAATATTTATATTCATTACTTTAGTGAGCTCCTAGATATTTGATGTACCCCAGTTCATTTTACCATGGCTACTAGTTACCTGTTGAGGAAACGCATAGCCCGAGGACCTGCGTTCTTGTAGCGATTTGTGCTCGCAACTTTGTGGCCGGATTTGCGGGCGAGCATCCGGTATGAGGGACTCGCTTCCTGCCACACTAATCGATGACGGATCAACTGGGGCTTACGGTTATGACATCGCTCCCTTCTGCCCCAAAACTTTTTCCTACGGAATGTGTATAGTATTCCAGCACAGAGAACCGCCGCAGAGTTGGGCTAACTCAGTTTTCGGGTTGCGGAGGGCAAACAACTTGAATCGAACGATGTGGCTGCTGTTTGCTGGATTCTGGATTCTGGTTTCTGGTTCCTGGTTCCTGGTTTCTATCAGAAGCCACGGCGCTTTCTTTTCCCCATACGCGAACTCAACGAACGCACCAACCGCTGGAAAATCAAAGGAGTGGGGGTGGCGAGGGGTTGTGGCATGTAGATTGTGTTTGCCAATGCTGCAGCTCAAGCGTAAACATCATCTGGCGGCAAGGATGTGCGGATGAACTTTCCCATAAGGTGGGGAAATTAGCACAGAAACAAAATTCTGCGAGCGAAGGATTTACTGGCTGGCAAAACTTTCTCTCTGAATTATGGGAAGTAATAAAGTAACTGCGAATTCTCTGCTGAATTATTTTAAATTGCAGAAAACGAAGTCTAGGATATGCAGTAAAAAAGATTGGCGCATTTGAATAGTTTCCCCGAGACTTTCGGAGTAATAATATATTCAGGAACATTTCTTATTCAGAGAATAAAAAGAATCCACTCCATTCGCCCAGTGTACGTCTTCTTCCCAGCCCCAAGTCCCCTGAGCCGCCATGGTGCACATGTGTGCCCCTATGCGTTGGGTTCTGGTGCCTCCACCAGCGATGGATGCCTTTGATTTCATTTCACTTCATTTCATTTTGTTGTCGGTGGTGGCGAACTCGCGGCTGCGTCGCCAAACAGCGCACCACCCAATCGCACCACCCAATCCCAGTTCCATTGTGATGTCGGTGGCTCGGGTGGATACCTTTCCTAAACTCATTTTGCATCTGAGGATAACCAGCGGCCTGGAATGACGGACGATGCCATCGGATAATCTCTGCCGGCTGGTGGTTTTGGCTGGGGATCCTGGGCACTTTGCTAGTTTAGTTCATGGAATCGTCAAGGCTGCAAAAGTTTTGCCACTCCCTTTGAAGCCAATTAAAACACTAGGAATTGAATCGGTTTCGTAATGTTCGTTTTTAATTTCTTTCAATAATATGTATGTCTCATTTATTATTCAATATGCGTTCTAGTTCTATTATTTTCCATTATTTCTCTCGTCGTTATATGTGTATAAATTAATGTCAATTGTTCAATGCGTGTGTGGTGTCTTTTTGGCTTTAAAATGCCAGACATGCTCTTAAGTTGATGGAATTTATAAAAAAACGAATTTCCTTGCACTGACTAAGCCAATTTGCGGTGTATAAAAAATCATTGTGCACATCGCGAATTCAAATTTCCATTATAACAACAATGATAATAACAATAATAGTAAGAAATACGCGAATGTTTATTGCATTATTTACTGTTAACAACAAAACCAATTAACGAGCCCCCATTTTTGAGGGTGTGTAAAAATGGAATAATTTTCACGGCTTCTCCTCATTTGGTTTGAATTTTCCTATTTGTTGGTTTCCTTATCGTATCGTAGTACCTTTGCCCTCTTGCTGTATCTTAAAAAATGTATTAAAATTAGCTTAACTATCAAAATTATATGCCCATTGTTGTAGCTTCTTTGAGTTCGTTTGTATTTTTTTTTTGTATTTGGTTTTTTGTTTTGGTTTTTGTTTTGTTTTCAAAAGTTTCCATTACCAATTTCCTAGTCAGCTTATATACATTTGTTGTTATTTGTGTGTTCTCTGTTTTTAATTGGTTTCCTGTGGCTAGGCTCGTCTTAACTATGAACAGTTTTGATATTACAAATATAATGCAATTATCCTTGATGCCATCGGTAGCTTTACTTCTCATACTCTTAAGTTTAGTGAGTGGCATTTACATGTTTCTACATGAATATCAAAAAACTATGCAGGTTCCTCTAAATCCAACAATGTTTCTGCAGCTTATACAAATAAATGTTAACATTCAATATCCCCTAATGTCTCCTTCACTCTCGTTTCGTCCTTTTGTCAAAGCCTCTGTATCTCAATGTGGAACAGAATAAGCGGGTTTAGTTACAAATTGGGCGCAGCATGTCAATGTCCTTAGGATGGAATGATTGAAAAACTCCCTTTAGAAATTAAATATTGTCAAGCACGATGGGGTGTATGTGTGTGTGCGTGTGTGTGTGTGTGTGTGATTAGCCTCGAAATTAAAGAGAATCATAATGCCATAATGCCAAGTGGGTGGGTGATCTAACTACACTACACTAATTGATGGGGAAATGTGCTTTGGCGTGCTGGTGGATTGATGATTGATGGTGGATGATTGAATCATGACCGAGAAGTTAATTGCTTTTCGTAATTTTTTGTTGTCAACAACAATACTCAATAATATCATATTTCTCTACATCTCATTCAAATGATCACAGTCAAAAACGTTCATTATTGAATTATCCTTTTAAACATTTTAACCATTACTACACAACAAAGACACGGTTATTTTCTTGACCAAAAATACGATAGGACAACATTGAGTAATGCAAATAAGAGAAATTTCTTGATTGAAATTTGAACAAATTCTCTCAACTTGGGGCACTTCGTGAAGGGTATACGAGGGCATACTCGTCTAAGACGAACTTTGTAACCCGATTTCTACTGCGCAAACCAAAAGCGATTGATGGTCGGGGGCGGGGTGTGTGTGTGTGGGTGTGTGTGTGTAATGTGGGCGGATTCTATATAAAATGAGGCGTGGCGTGTCTACATTTGTGTGAAGCGATTAAACGAAGCGTAAAATGTTTTTTGCCGCTGGCCGAATTTCCATTTGAATACATATTTCCAATTGCATATTCGTTACTTCGTTTTTGTTGCTTGCATTTGTAGTTTTGGTTTGCTTTTGCTTTCCATGTGATTAGCTGAACATTTTATTGTATTTAATTACTAACGCATTACAAACTTATTCATTACCTAATGCAAAATTGTACACTTAACGTTAATGTTCTGTTTTCCACTTGGTTTCCCTTTCAGCAGTACAAAAATTATTCATTGCATTTTCTGTTTAGGTGTTTGTTGTCTCCATTTAGCCATTGTTTTACATCCGTGATGATACTTCACTTTTAACTAAATTTACACATTGCCAAATTTCGCATATACTCGTACTCGTACTATATGGTTTATTCGCACAGACACATATACATATACTATGTTGCATACGCGGCTAGAGATACAAATACATTTGCCACTGCCACAGCTTAAAACTAGACTTCGTTCTATTTCATTAACCGATTAACACTTCTGTTGGTTTGCTCCTCCTGCGTCGGCTGGTTTAAAAATCATTAACGCTAAAAAGTAACTAAATTTAATCAATCTTAGGAATTATTCAGTTGGATCAATCATTAATTTATTTGTGTCTGTGTCTGTGTCCGTTTGTGTCTCATTAATCTGATTCATTTCTGCTCGCCTAGTCGCACTAAAACCACTGATAGTTCGGTCGTCGTGTCTCCAGTTTTTTGGCCATCACCCATCCACCCATCCACACATCTACCATCTATCATCTCCATTCGAAGTTCGCTTCCTGTGTTCGCCGACACTATGTTGGAAGAACAAATAGATTATCCTTGGCTAGTTCCGCAGGGCTTTGTATCAGGTTCTGCTAGAAGTCGCTACTCGTCGAGGGATTCCCTAAATTGCTCTCCACAGTGTCGTCCTTGTGTCAGAGGGGCGGCTTGTAGACTTCAATAGCTGGCGTGAGCATATCCACTCGCGTTGATATCGAAGTATCACTGTAAAGGGAAGAAAATAGTCGGGTCAGCTTGGCTCATAGCTTAAAGTGGGTATTTATGAATATTATTTGTGGGATTTTTGTGAGATATCAAATTTTCCAATACGATAAGACTGACTACTTCATTCTAAACCTTTAGTGATTGCATTTTATGTATCTGATGGCATCTAAATAACTTGAACATCTCAGAGACTTATGGTATAGCCCCGAATAAAGTTCACTCCACTTTCATTGCCCCAGCATAAAAAGTTTAAAGACACAGCGCAAAGGGGGAAAAACATCGGAAAATAGGTAAGTTGGAAAAGGGAAAAGCCAAAAACTTTATCGCACCGTGTGCAGGCAGACAACTGCTGCACTTGCTTCTTGCAACACGTTGAGCCGCACAAACAAGGAAAACTAATCCCAGTTTCACCATCAGTCATCCGTGTTTCACTAATTGCATTGCATTGTCCTGGAGTTCTTACTCCAGCTGAGCACAAATTCGAAGCCAAGCTGGGTAATTTAGAAAATTTAATCCACTTCTGCCAATCCATTTTAGTTTATCTGCTATTTGGTTATATACTATGCGTTTATCTCAAAGTGAAATATAGTTTTGTAGAGCTTTTCTGTTTATTTAAAAACAGAGGCTTGTATAAATATTATTGCGAAAATGTTTTTCCTTAAATGCGAATTCATTTGTATGCACCTGTATTTCCTCAAGCAGCAAAGTGAATGCTCCCGAGTCCTGATTTCATTTATTCGGTTCAATTGTTACACTTATTTATTAAACACACTGCCATGTACTATACACTTGTACATATTTTCTGTTTTCCGCATTTCTTTCATTGCTTGACCCCAAGACCTACGACTGCTTCTCCAGCTGAGTTTCCCTCAGTTTTCCTCAGTTTTCCTCATTTTTCCGCTTTTCCCCACCCTTTGATGGCTGGCTTCGTTGGCGGCTGGTGGTTCGGCTTCTTTATCATGGCCACCCACTGGATTGGAGCTCCTTTGTTTGCTTGTTGCGGATTCGGTTTCGCATTGTAAATGAAATGGAATTAAATGAAATGTGAAATTTATTGTATTTAGGGGATTTCCATGCGACAAGCGCTGCGCTGCTCTGCGGAAACGGATGTGGATGGAGGATGGAGATTGGAGGTTGGGTCCTTTGAATGGAATGGAATTGGGATTGGTAACGAAACAAAGCACAGCAATGCGAAACAATCGCCTTTTCGCTTACTATTTCGAATGTAATTTATACGCGTACTTATGGTCCCCACTGTGCTTTGTCTGTTCGCTTTATTGGCACTCTACTTTAGTTCTCTTTTCGACTTTGTGTTTACTCTCTGTCTGCACTCGCCATCTCACATTCACATTTCGAACTCACATTAAGCCAAATAAAAATCTCATTTCTCCAGCGGAAGCTGTACTACCTTGTCTTTAATAAATCCCCAGACTTACATACTTAAATTCATACTCCCACACCCGCTCGGGCTGGTCAGTTCATAGAAAGTTCAAAATAGTTTGTTCAAGCAAGTTTGGCTCGGAGCAAAAATAAACAAAAACAGGCAGAAACTAAAAGATATTACGGAAACTTTCGAGTGTTGGCAACTCCTCGAAATGCGCTTAAGGGCCATAATTAAAACGAGAAGCTTAAAACATTGAATTGGAAAAATTCATATTTTTTTAAGAGATTAAGAACCAGTTTTCCCAGCTTCAACGGGGCAACGGGGGTGAAGGGCAAGTAGTTTCCTAAAACAATATTTTACCTATGCATAAGTTCCTTATGAATAACTCAGTTGGCCAAATTAGATGCAAGATTAAGCTACGTTTAAAGTGAATATTAGAAAGTTGGAGCATTTCTGTGAATTTTTGTATTCAAGCTAAGCTCTGCGGAAGGGAGCACTTTACTATAATTCCAAGAAAGGAGAGTTTGATTGAATTTATTTTTAGTGTATCATAACGTTTTCATGCACAACAGATAAATTTATATAAAAGTCGAAGTACTTATTTGCCTTAAAATCAAATTATCCCTTTTATTGTTTGGCCCTGCACTCAACATTTTTTCGAAGTTAGCGTGAAATGGAGTTGCAAGTGAACACCATTTACGCCCTTTGCAAAGTGCAAGAGCTGCTGAGTTCTTCAAGTTTGGAGTGGCCTAAAAGCCAGGAGACGGACACCATCTGGTGCTGACCATTCATCAGCATCAAAAAAAGGGAGCGGATGCAGTTGCATTAGGGGAGCACCAAAGTGGGGCAGAGATGGGGCCAAACCCATGGAACATGGGAAGTGTGCAAATTGTTGCCAAGCTGTTGAAACTGTGTTCCAATTAAAAATGCAACAAATTCGAGCACAAATTGTTGTCGTGCAGCTGATGGTAGAAGTGAAACTGCAACTGCAACTGCAACTGCAACTGCAATTGAAAACATAAAGGATGCCAATGCAATTAAAAAGCCTTTTCAATTGCATTTAACATGAAATTAGTTTCGAGAGTCATAAAAACCATGAAAAGCAGCAAAGTGCCTGCGGTTGTCTGTCGGTTGCTTTGTGTCACTTTGTTGCAAGTAAAACTTGAACTTTTCCATTGAATTTGTGAATGCAATCGATTGCAAACATATGCCTACTGCGCATAACTTTTTGAGGCCGGCAAACGTATGCAGTTGACGGAAACTATGAGGTTTCCTTTGCGATTTACACAGAGCTCCAAACTTGTCAAAGTTTTGATTTGGCCAGGAACTCATTTGAAATAAGAGCCAAGGTAAGGAGGAGATCTCGGCAGAGAAACTCCACAACTTTGTGCGATTAACTGCCGCCCAAGTGGGCGGGAATCCTTGGGGCCAAAGGAAGCATATTACAAGCGACAACAAGCAATGTAAATGTAAATGCCAACTGGCAGTGAGAAATGGCCAACGGCAGCACTTGGCCAAGAAAATCTGCAAAAAACCAGGTCAAACAGGTGTGTGCGTGTGTGTGTGCAGGTGGGCCTGGGAGTGCCGGTGTCCTCAGGATACAGGACTGCAAAACTTCCAACGTATTTAATTTGAAAATGCGACACTGACACTGCGGCCTGCTGAATGCTCGGTGAAAATTAAATTACACGCGCCACGCCTGCCAGGCGACTGGGGGATAGGCTGGCCAAATTCAACCCGAAACACGGTACATTAAAATTTCATTTGGCCAAAAGTCCCACAAACTTTGCTAACAAGTCGCAGGCGCTGCAAGGACAGCCGCTTCGGACGCGTGAAAACAACAACGTGCGGCGGTACACTGAGCGAAATGCACACCAAGGGGATAAAACTTACAGAAGCTTAGCAGGATTACAAAAATAAGAAATAATCCTTTTCAAGAAGTGAATTTTTTATAAACAAAATATATACATATGTATTTCAAATATAAATAACCTTTACTTGTACATAATTTAATGGGTTAAAAATATAGTTTTCGTTCAATGATAGTTGGAAATTTTAATATTTCTACTTTTTTGAATTTTAAATTTTCTGCCGTGCACAGATACAAATACAGAGATACAGATACAACTGGCAGGCGGGCAGATTTCCGGCGGAAAGTGCGAAGGTGAGGGTGCCAGAGGTCAGAATGCTGCGGGCTGGGGACTTTTGGACTCCGGCACCTGGATCGCAGCTAGAATCTCGGCTCCTATCCAAATCCGCCGCCTGCAGGCGACAAGTAAACACAAACGTCGACACCCAAAACACCCAGAACACCCACAACACTCCAAAGACCCAAAACACCCGAAACACCCAAAACACCCAGGACACCCGGAACACCCACACAAAACTGACAAGTGTCGAGTGGAGGTGGAAGTGGGAGAAACTTAAAATCTCATTAGTTACATTTTTGAGAGGACACGAGCTTTGGCTGTCGGCTCAGAGCAGTTTTCTTTCTTTTCTTTTTGTTTTTCCGACTTTTCTTTTTTTTTTGACTGGGAAATCTTTGCAGCTTGGCAAACCATTTTCAGATTCGCTTTGGCACGCTGACCGCTTTCCACTCGTCTGTGAAAACTTTAACTGATGAAATCAAGTTCTTGCGATGAACGCAAGAGTTTGAAGCAGTCTTCTTCAAAAAGCATATTCAACAATTTGTTTGGCAACAATATTATCATTTTTATATTTATAGCATTTTCATTTGCATGGATTCTAAATGATACATTTATCTCTATGCAATATTGTTGCTGATAAAAAGTGTCGCCTGCAAACAAAGAACAAACATTTAATTAAAATTCCAAAAGAGTGTTAATCCTTGAACAACTATTATATTTTTCCATGTGTGTTCAAAGACAAAAAAAAAAAAAAAACTGCAGTGGCAGGCAAATTTGAAAACTGAAAAAGTGCATTGGAAAACATTTGCGTATATCTGTATGTACATTGGGTATTTAAATTTTTTAACATCCTTTATATGCCCGGGCACGTTTCTCCGTTTCTCGAACGCAGTGGGTGGTGTGCGGATAGGTGGGTGTTTTTGGGTGTGTGGATGTATGGGTGGTGTTTATACATACACCGATGATATTGCTATACTGCTGGCCATATGGCAGCACTTTAAATGCAAATGAAAGCGCCGAGCGCTTGTCCTCGTCGTCTGAGTTGATGGTAAAATGTGGTGCGTCGAGGTCGCTCACGATTTGAGAAGTGCTTAGCCGCCCCTCGCACTCGCACTCGCCGTCGCCGTCGCCGTCGCCCTTCCTCCAATTGGAAACGTGGGTGCTGGGGGAGATAGATTTGCATAAAGCTCCCAACTAGAATGAATATTCGGTTAGGCCTTTTCCTTGCGGTGCTGCTGATGGCACGTGACTGCCTCATGGACGCGGCAAAGTTTTGTGTGTCAAGGCGCTGCAACTGCAGATACATTCTGCTTCGGATACTTGTTGAGCATGTCCTTCGTCCTGCGAGTATGTATCGTGGGGCCACCTTGAACACATCCAATGGCAACCATAGCTGTAGGTCACCCCGCTGGCTGACATTTCAAATCAATTCACTGACACCCACTCAGCCCAAAGTTAAACAACAGTCG